ATATGGGGCTTTACAGGGGTTATATAGGGAGAATGGAAAAGAAAATGGAAACTACTTTATTATACTAGGGTATATGTTGGGGTTATAGTCCCCCTTAAGTAGATAGAATATGCCCCGGGATCTCATTATAATATACCCAAAGCCATATTCTCTCTACTTGAGGGGGACTATAGCCCTGAACCTCGCATGAAGTCATTGCGCGAGTGCACTGAGACATTGAGCTGTCCCCACAGCGCTTCAATGCTTCCATCACGGCCAGAAGCTTATGGGAAGGGGGGGAAGGGGCGAGTCAAATCTTAAGGCCCCTATGTTTTCCTACTATACCATTATCACTGGGCAGGGGCTCATCCAAAGTATTCTTGTGCAACAAATGTTCAGGGTTGAGGGTTCAGGGGCGGCAGACTTCCTAACATCCACTGACCCCCGCACGAGCCACAAGCAACCTGAGTGAATGAAGTTCTAGGGACGCTAACCCAGCTCCACACTCTACTCCCTAAACCCGACAAAGCTCGAATGCCTCCAAATCCTAAACCGTAAACCCTTACATCGCCAACCTTACATGGGTAGTTGTCAAAATTATGGTCCTTTTTTGGATCCCTATCATAATACGGCACCTAATATTCAGGGTACCCAAAAAGGGACCACAATTTTGACAACCACCCACATGGTTGCCTGGCAAGGTCCGACGGCTTTGGGACGGCAGTCTCGGCGTGGCATGTTTCTTTCTGGTGGTTAGTAGCAATGACTAGAGGGTTCAGGGCTTAGGGTTATAGGGGAAGACGTGATGTATAGGAGTTATATGGGGATGATCTTCCCTATCCCTACCAGCCTTCAGTGAAATCAATGAGTGAATGGAAAAGAAATGGACACTGCTATACCATTTGGGCTTAGTTTGGGACCCCTCTACGGATCCATTCCTCCATTCCTTGCCCCAAGCCCGTATCCCTTAGGCCTAAATGTGAAGCCTTAAGCCCTCAAGCCTAAAACCCCAAACGGAGAACAAGTGTGACCAAAAACACCCTAAAACCCTAAACCCTTTCTTCTTTCCTTCCTTCCTTCCCTTCTAACAACCAGTAAGGTTTGCCTCGCGGTTGCTGGCATCCGGGAGAGGAGCCGCAGAGTTGGCCGCATGCTTGCGAAGGGAGCGGGGTTTATAAGGTTAAGGGTTTAGGGATTATGAATTTAGGGTTATAGAGTTTAGGGTTTAGGGAACTGATATAGGGCTATATAGGGATATATCGGGGCAAAGAAGGATGAATAAAGGTTAGATCTACGTTCGGAGGCATGGGGCGCGGGCCCCGGGCGCTTAGCCTTTTTTGGGGTCGCTCTAGGGGCCTTTAGGGTGTGTGTGCAGTATCTCTGGGGAGTATAGCGCTCTGAAGTTCCCTGTTACAATCCAAAGCCCTTTAGTCGCATGAGAAATGTTGGGCTTGCAGAGGGAATACACGAGAAAAAGATCTGACAGTTTCCAACAATCTTGAGGGGCCTCCATTCAAGGTATCCCCATTTCTTAGTTTTAACCTCGCGGGCCCCCTTCTAGAATCTGCCATGCAGGCTCTTGCTCAAAGTTTTGAGGGAGTATTTAGGGTGTTTCCAAAACTCTTGCTTCTTCATCTGGTCGGCTCTGTTTCTCATGGGGCTAGTAAGGAACCATGTGGTAACGTGGTGTGTCTGATTTTTGGCATCTTTGCCTTTTCTTGGTAGGGGCCAGTCCTGTCTGCATCCAGGCAAAACAACAGGGCAAATTATGACGACCCCACCCAACCTCACCCCACATGGTGCATTGCAAAAGAAATGGTCCCAGATTGGCATAATTACAGGGTCTGAAAGTAAGCCAACTGGCCAGTATGATTCCAAGGATCGCTTCGGATGGCGGCCAGGTGGCGCAAAAGCTGCCATCCATTCAGCGATTGAGCTTCCGAAGCTCGCCTTGAGGTTTGAGGGTTTTAGTGTGTAGGTTTCAGGGTTGGGAATTTCAGGGTTTGGGGATGGTGCGGTTAGGGTGGATGGGTTTCGGGCTTGTGGGGTTTACGGCATAAGGGGTGTGTACTGTCGAAGGGCCTTCATTTGTGCACCTAGAATGCGTATTGGATATGTTGTCATTTGGGCTTGGAGGATGCGAGGCAACCCCTAGGTGGTCTCCGCTGCCACTCCTAAGCCACTGGCAGTGATATACTAGAGATATGTAGGGACCTTGATGCGGGTACCTTTGTCTATGGTGGTCACTTTAAGCGAGTGGGAGTCATGATGTGGGGTGATGATTGCACCAACCTTTTCCGGCTTGGCATTATCAGAGCCCTTCCGCCGTGCAGCTTCAATATCAACACAATCATGCGGCAAAGAGAGCCAGTGAACATGGGAAACCCTCAGAGGCATCAGCGCACCCAGCTTAGGACGCATCTCTGCATTCGGATCCCATTGTAATTTGTCAAATTCGAGAAAATTCTTGTCACGAGGAACGACGTAAGAATCATACACATATTGAATGCATGTTTCTCAAAATGCATCCTGTGCAAATGTCATATTTCTCATACATCATTAGCTTGTGTTGAACCCTGAGCTGGGCCATTGTTCTATCTATTGTTTGCCTATTAAAGCCCCGTAAGTACTATGCATTTCTTATTATTTTCACAGCAAGAGAAGCAGCCAGTACAGCCCACTAAGGTAGAAGCCTAAATAATTATCAATGTTATGGTCCTAGATCCTTGTATAATGCTATACGGTACCTCAAGAAGACCTCAGCATGATGTTGATAATCACGTAGGCTGCTTTACAACCTTTTTGCGGGTAAACCGGCTGAGGCCTGGAAGAATGGCGTGACAGGCTTGGCATCAGCAACCTGGCACGGTTCAAGATCCAGCAGGTTCAGGGTTTAGGGTCTAGTACATAGGATTTAGGTTTAAGTTTGATTTGGGTTTCAGATATAGGTCATAGGGTTTGGGTTTAAGGTTTGCGCTATTAAAGCCATTTTGGAAGGGTTAGGGGCATTCAAATCCAGAACCCTGAGCCCCAAACCCACACAAGCCCAACTTCAAACTTCAACCCTCAGCTAAAAACCCCCAAACCCCCAAACCCTTAAACCCCGAACCCCTAAAACATCCTAGAATTCTAAACACCAAATTCCCAGAACCCTAAGACACAGCCCTGAACCCTAAACCCTAAAAGCTTCGGCCTGCTAAGGTTTTCGGAATCGGCGCGTTCGCGTCCACAGCCCCCATGCAGATTGGCTGCAGAGCAGGGATATAGGATTTAGGGTTCAGAGTGCACGGAGGACATCTTGCACTACCCTGACATGGGAGACCTTACGTGTTGAGAGAAGTCCCCCAAACCACTGTAGGCTTTATGCTGTTGGGTTTGATTGTTTCTCAAACGGTGCCATTATCATACGAGGCTATATGGGGATTATACGAGGATTGTAGGCGTCGTGAAGGATTGTGTGTGGATTGTTTCAGGACATCGAGTATGCAAGAAAGAATGGAAGAAGACCATCACAAACGGAAAGCAGACCAAGGACTGGAACACAACAAACACAAGCTTAACAAACAAGCCTTGAACCCCAAGCCCTTGCTCCACAAACCTCAGCCGCAAATCCTAAAGGCTGAATCGCAAACTACCACGTCATCCCCAAACAACAGGCAGAATGGTTGCAGATCCTTGAGAAGGAGGGCATCGAAGTGTTGGAAGGCTGGCACTCCAGCACCACGGTAGATGCGCGAGGGTTTCTGGCAGTGCATGTAGGTAGTGAGGCTGGTATCCTTAAATCCCTCTAGAGGCAAGTATAGGCATAGATGTGGTTGAAGGATTCTGTTGCAGTATAGGTTCTTTTCAATGCAGGGGCAGTGTCGAAGGACCCCTGGGGAGATTACGTACAAGTTCCTCCGAATGACTGCATTTGTGAAAACCTCCGTAGGAATCATGGATACTGAGTCTACATACATGTTGTAATTCTAGTTGGCGCTTGTGAAGAGTTCCTAACCTTCAACCTTAAACCCTAGTTCAGAAGCCCCTTGCCAGTCGAGTGAGTACCTGAAGCTTTCTTTCGATTGCGTGACACAAAAATCACCAACGGGGGGAAGCCTCCAGAGGGGTTATAGAGATATGTAGGGTTTACCCTAGACCCTGTAAACCCATGTGAACCCTAAACACTAAACCCTACACTCTAAACCCTGAACCTCTACGGCGTTCAGCATGTTTTGTAAACCTCGAAGTGAAAGTCTCGAGCCATCCTGAGCCCTAGGCCTCGAACCATTGATCTTAAGCCTCGAATCCCTCAACCGCAAACCCTGAACCCCCAAACTCAGTCTGGGGTTCGTTAGGTTTTAGGGTTCAGGGTAAAGGGCTTAGGGTTTAGGGATGAGGGTTTGGGGTTTAGGGATTATGGTCTAGGGTTTAGGGACCCCAAGCCCTCTAAACCTTAAACCCTAAACCCTAAACCCTAAACCCTAAATCCTAAACCCTTAACTAAGCCAGAGGAGCGGACGTTGACGTGTTGATAGTGGACAATGGGCGCTCCTTCCAAAGAGGCATCGACGAGTTCAAGCAGAGCTGTCCTCAGATTGGGGTGTTCCAAAGCAGAAGACCTGGAAGGTTTAGGTAATGGGTTTAGGGTTTATGGGTTTAGGGTGTATAGGTTTAGGGTTTATGGGTTTCGGGTTTTGGGGGTGTAGGGTTTATGCAGGATGATACCACAAGTACCACTGAGTTTGGAAATCTTAGTTGTTTAACAGACCAGCAGAATTTTCAGCATCAGCAGTAGTATTTACAGGACCGCCTAGATCTGGATGTTTTGTCTAGAGGATGTACGGGGGAGACATGCTGCAAATATTGTGTAGGGGTCTTGTCTGGATCATATTGGGATCACATATTCATGCGGGGTTTTAATGTGAGGAGAACCCCCTAAACCCTAAACCTTAAACCCTAAATCCTAAACCCTGACCCCTAGACACTAAGGAGCATGGCTCAGATTGCTGTTGCCGTTTTGCCGGTGGCAGACTGTCGAGGTGGGCATGGCCTGGGTTTAGGGTTTCAGTCATGGTCTTGTTTTCGGCTGGCCACGACATTAAACCACTCGCTCATTCTCTGTGGGGTTCCAGCAATTGGGGATCCGGTTTTTGGGGGTACTGTAGGAAGGAGTACTGTATTCAGGGGAAAAATCAGGAAAACTTCTATTTTGGAAACCCTTCATGGACTTGATAAAAGCCAAACGTTACACTCCCCCAAGCTACATGGAAATCCATACAGCTCCTTTTTAAAGGGGCTGTAGTCTCTATAGGGCCTCTTTTGGGTTTCCATGTTAGTTTCTGAGGTAGTATGTGAAACTTAGTGGATGCTCAGGCGGTAAAGCAGCACGAGCATCGCAGCTTCTGAACGAGGTGTGGATGCAACAAAGTCTTTGGTTTCCAGAAATTCTAGGTACCATCTACTGGGTTGCTATTACAGAATTTGAAGTAAATTGCTATAACGGGAGTACATAGAAATCAATATGGTTTCCAGAAATTCTAGGTACCATCTACTGGGTTGCTATTACAGAATTTGAAGTAAATTGCTATAACGGGAGTACATAGAAATCAATATGGTTTCCCTAACACAGTAACTTAAATTAAGTTCCCTTAACCAAACCAAGTTACGGGGGCTTCAACATGGGGGCTTTAGTGGAGATTTCAGGTTGTAGGTTTATGGATCTTGTATCCTTCAGATCAGCAATAACTCAATGTTCATGAATATCCCAATGTACCCCAATGCATCCCCAACCCTAAGCCCTAAACCCTAAACCCTAGACCCTAGACCCTAAACCCTAAACCCTAAAGCCTTGCAGGTAAGCAAGGCTATCAGCCAGACTGGAGCTCGGATGAGTGCCCACCATCTCTTGAGCAATCGCGACCAAGAGCGCACGGTGCTTCTGTGCAAAAAGGGTACGCGGTTTAGGGTCTAGGGTTCAGGATTTAGGGTTTCGGGTTTAGGGTTCAGGGTTTAGGGTATAGGATTTAAGGTTCATGGTTTAGGGTTCAGGGTTTAGAGTTGCCCCCACTCATTAAGGGTGGATAAAATTTGGGTGGTTTCCTAAAATTAGGGGTACCATTTGGGGGTCCCCTTAATAAGGACTAACGTATTTTGGGTCTATATTGGGATCCCATTATTTCGGGAAACTACCATATAGCTATTCAGAGCCCTTAATTTGACTCCTATTATAGACGTTAATGAGTGGGGGCAGGACCCAAGGTACAGGGCTACGGGTTTAGGGTTCGTAGCTGGGAATTTCGGGAGCTCCGCATACATGAAACGGATCTTGTGCTTTGACGGGCATGCAACAGGATATATTGTTGATCAGATGCATGGTTGATTCTAGACAAATCCCGCAGGACCTTAATGTATCAGGTTACCCTCATTCCCAATGTATTGGGTATTTTGGGCCTTGCAGGATTAAAAGATTCGAATGTAGCAATTTGAAAGGGGGCCTTAAACCCTCCGCCTTCCAAACTCTAGAGGTTCTCACAGAACTCCTACTTCAATGCCTTGTAGCCTCTCGAAGATCCCGAAGCCCTAAACCCTAAATCCTAAACCCTAAGTCCTAGAATCTAGTCATAATCTCCATGTATGCTCCTGGCCAGAAGCATCATGGGTAGTTCCCAGACTTAGGGTCCCATTTTGCCACCCGTAAATATCAGGTGCCGTAGTATAGCCTATAACCAAAAGGGGCCCATAATTTGAGAACAGCCTTCATCATCATCATCATCATCATCATCATCAAGAGAACTTGTAAGCTCAAGCGTGGGTTGAAGTAGGGCTGCAAGCACCCCTAAGTTACAACGTTTCGGTGTTTGTTGCCGCACCTATAGCCCCTCTTATCACTACCCGCGAACCTTGAGAGTGGGCGGGATATGCCGCATTGCCAAAAAAAAGGTGTCCATTGTGTAGGACTATTCCTTGGTGTATACGGGATTCAATTTCGGGGGCCACCGCATTCTTGTCTTTGCGCAAGGGATGCAGGAACGCAGGTGCCACCAGCAGTCAGAAACAGAAGGCAAATGTCTTCGCGTGCTATTGCTGAAGGAGGAGCCTTTGAACCATCTAGAGATTCTAGCCTCCTGTAAGTCCCAAAAATTTTGCGGTACAGTAAATCCTGGGCCCCAAACCCCCCTAAACCCTAAAACCCTAAACCCTAAGTCTTACAAGAGCTTGAAACCGCAGCAAGCTCCTAGAGCTGCCAGGCCGGGGTCTACACGCAAGCCAACTCGAATCCGGAGCAGGCCACGTCGGGGCCCTCAGCTTATGGGGCTTAGCGTTTAAGTTACCATAATAGGGGTATGTAGGGTTAGGGTTTAAGTCTTTAGGGTTGAGGGTTTAAGTTACCAAAATGTGGGTATATACCCTAAACCCTAAACCCTAAACCTAGGGTTCAGGGTTTAAGTGTTTGGAGATGAGGGTGTCGTGACTCGTGGTTTAGGGTTCAGTGTTTGGGGCTATTGCCACTTGCAGAAACAAAGCAGACGGTTATGGCTTACAGGGTGTGGGGTGATCGTAAATCACCCTAAGCCCTATGCCCTAAACTCTAAACCCTAGAGCCTAAACTAACCAACTTCGCTTTGACAATAGTCATAAAATCCTAGAAGTTCCAGGTATCGGAGGTCTTCTAAGTGGGGCATCATTTTCTCCGTGCGAAGTGTCTGCAGCCCTGGGAGTGACGACGTATTCAAGCCCAAGTTGTGGGCATTTTGGATGCGGGGTTGATTTAAAGGTCCTTTGGGGAATTTTTCAGTTCCTGTAGGGACATTACTTCCACAGAGGCCATTTTGGGAACAGGATTGTGGATCAACTACCATTTGCACCACTCTTCTTGCGGAGTGTTCAGCATATACTCAGTTAAGTCAGTTTGTGCATACAGGTATGTTCTTCCTTATGTAAGAAATCCAATTGGGGCAGGCAACTCAGTTTAAAGATGCAAAATCCTCAGTCGAATAGACCTTGTGGGTCCCTAAACCCTAAACAGATCTGTTCCCAGATGTGTTCGGCAAATGATTCGGCAGTTTCTCCAAGGTTCGGAGCCTCTTGGGTACATCATGAAATGGGACCCATGACTCTTAAACGCTAAATCCAGAACCCTAAGCCCTGAACCCTGAAGTAAGAAGGGGATTTTGGCTACCTCAACCACCCCCAAAAAAGGAGCCTGGGACAATCAAACGACTCTTATAGGGTCCCTATAGCAGGGTCTGGTGTTACCCAAGTCCCTCAACCCTAAACCCTGAACCCTCAACAACTCACAAGGCCTGTCCCGCAGACGACAGTCCTACCGCAGCTGATGCTGGCCTTCCCGAATGAGGCTTACATTCCTTGAAGCCCCAGTGGTCAGGGTTTGGGGTCTGGAGTCTAGGGTTTAGGGTTTGGGGTTTAAAGCCTGGAGCCTATCAAGTTTTGAGTTTTCTAAATATTGGGTAATTACCCTGACGGTATACGGGAACTGTGAAAGGGATGTGGCCACTAACCTTTGGAACTGGTGGAATGACCCGCACGAGCAAAGGCAGAAAGAGGATCGTAAAGGGATGCTTTTTGGAGTAAGTCCAGAGACCAAGTTTACGTATAGAAACTTTTCTACATGAAGAAGCACCCACCCGAAACAAGAGACCTATCACTTTGAGAAACGAGTGCAGGTAGGTAGTTGATAGCTGAGTGGTTTCCATAGTTTTCCCCAAAGGACTTCCATGTGACCCCAGGAGTGGTGTAGAAAGCCCATGGGAGACTACCGCTCTGCATACTACCCGCCTGTGAACCCTAAACCCCTAAGCCCCAAACCCCTAACCCAGTATCTGAGGTTGGCTTCCCCATCTCTGTCGTGTTGGTGGCAATTGCAGAAAGTGAAAGTGTTTAGGGAGTTTAGGACTCGGGTTTTAGGGGTTTAGGGGTTTAGGGATGAGGGTGTCCGGGATTCTGTGTTGGGGTTTGAGATTTGGTACAGGGTTAATACTACTATCAGACTGCAGATGGCTAAAAAGCGTCAATTAGGCGGATGGGATCTACTCCTCCACTGGCCCTGCAGCTCCAGTAAGTTGTCGGTTTGCGGCTGCATGCGCCGTAAACCCGAAACCCAAGCCCTGGATGCCCCAAAAGCTTCAACTAGACGAAGCCCCAAGCCTTTCAACCGTAGCCCAGCACTCCCTAAGACTTATACTCCCCCTTAAGTAGATTGAATATGGGGTATATGGGGATATTATTGTAATATATCCAAAGCCATATTCTATCTACTTAAAGGGGACTCCTCAACACCCTAAGCCCTAAACTCCACTATATAGTGTATAGGGTTGCCATAAAACCTCCAAAAAGAGGTTCTGGAGGGAGCTCTTGCTGCTGTTCGAGAAGTGCAGCAGTCATCGCCTCAGCAGGGTTTAGGGTTTAGGGTTTTACCTACCCATACTCTTGGGGGGAGCTAAGGAGCTAGGGATAGTCTTATATCCATATAACAAGGGGAGCTAAAGAGCCCAGGAATCTCCAAAACCATTGGGGAGTTACCCACTTGTAGTAGGCTTTAGGGGATTTAGTGACGAATCAACTGGAAATCAGGTGCAAATTGACGCGGAACCTCAGGTTTCGAGAAATGCATGTACGGGCATAGAACGATAAGTTGTCATCTCCTGCTCGTGCTTGTATCTAAGAGCCAATTATAAGCCGCCTAAGTGCCCTTAAGTGGGCATGAATGGCCATAAAGCGCATCTGTAGGTAGGTTATGAGTGCCAGTCTGAAAGGTCCCTGCAAGTCGCCCGCGGTTTTGGTTCTTTTTGGATTTCGTTTATGGACAGGATGCTGAAGAACCTAGAGCAATTAAAATCTAGTTTAGGGTATATGGCTTAGTAGCCACCTTGTTTATGGAGGGTATCACCATTGAAGCCAGAATTACCAGCTAATCCCAATCTTGGGCTACACGGTGCCTGACGAGCTTAGGTTGTAATAGCAATTGATCCCTTTTTGGGTCACCATTGTAACACGGAACCTAACATTTAGGGCACGGTCCTACTTTTGATAACTTACCACGTAATTCACATTCTGTCGATATCGCCCACATCACAACCCTAATCCCTAAACTCTAAACCCTAAACCACGAACCGCGTCCACCCTATAGCCTTGACTTTAGCATCCTTCCAACCAACGAGCACGGAAGCCCACCTAGCCCCTCTGCTTATGGGGCCATTTTTTGGGGGGTGCCATGGTCACCCTAAACCCTAAACCCTGAACCTTAAATCCTAAATGCTGTGTCAGGTTCTCACCGGACTTCGCTGAAAGTGGGGAGCAGGCCTGGGTTTGTTTGTTTGTTGGGCGGCTTAGGGTTTAGGGTTTAGGTATCAGGGTTTCGGGTTTAGGTATCAGGGTTTAGGTATCAGGGTTTAGGGTTTAGGGTTCAGGGTTTAGGGTTCAGGGTTTAGGGGTTGGGGTTTAGGGTTGGGGAGGGGCCTCAACAGCAGATAAAGGCAGGGATGCAGGATTGTAGCTTCAAAAGATACCAAAGAATGTTTAACTTCAGAAGGACCTCTATAACTTGCCAGCACAAGTAAGTAAAAAGGAGTCATGTAGCTCCAGTACGGAAGAAGGTTGCAATTTCCTTTTTGTTGCGTTGCAAGAAGAATACAACCCAAGCCCTAAGGCCCTAAACCCCCAACACCCTACAAACCGCCTTCAAGCCTAAGCTCCAAACCTTAAACCCTGAACCCTAGCTCCTAAACTCCCCTAAACAGCAAGCCCAAAAGCACACATCGATGAGGTGGAAGAGCCAGATGAGGAATATGGCAACGAAGTGGACAGCATGAGCTATGCAGTCCGGCCCCCACCTTGTGCGTTTAGGGTTCGTTTAGGGTTTAGGGTTTAGGGTTTAGGGTCTAGGTTTTTAGGTTTTAGGGTTCAGGGTTTAGG